GTTTATACTTTGAAAAAGTTTAATCAAATTCACCCTTCCTTGTTTTTCAGGAAACAAGAATAATCTAAAATAAACCACCTAACTTTGTACTCAAGGAATGAGAAAAAAAGCAAACAACACTCAAAGTTAGTAGTAAGAAGGAAATAACAAACATCAAACCAGAAATAAATTAAATGGAGACTAAAAAGAGGCAGTAGGAAAGATCAATGAAACTAAGAGCTGGTTTTTGGAAAAGATTAATAAAATTGGCAAATCTTCAGCTAGACTCACCAAGAGTAAAAAGAGGACAAGTAAGCTCAGATATGAAAGAGGAGTCATTATAACCAAAAGGACAGAAATACAAAGGATTATAAAGGGATTATTATGAACAATTAAATGCCAACAAGTTGGATAACTTAGAGAAAATGGATAAATTTCCAGAAACATACAACCTAGCAAAACTGTATCATGAAGAAATAGAAAATCTGAACAGAAAAATGACTAGTTGAATCAGTAATCAAATTAAATTAATAAGGAAACTGAATCAGTAATCAAAAACCTCCCAACAAACAAAACCCGGGACCAGATGGCTTCATTGGTTAATTCTACCAAACATTTAAACAAGAATCAACATCAATCCTTCAAACTCTTCCAAAACACAGAAGAGAGAACTCTTTCTAATGTATTTTAAAGGTCAGCATTACCCTGATACTAAGACCAGACAAGGATGCCACAAGAAAATTATAGACTATCCCTAATGAATATAGATGCAAAAATCCTCAACAAAATATTAACAAATCAATTCAATAAAACATTAAAAGGATCATACACCATGATTATGTGGGATTTATTCCACTGATGCAAGGATGGTTCAACATCTGCAAACCAATGTGACATGCCATGTTAACAAAATGAAGTATAAAAATCATATAATCATTTCAATAGATGCAGAAAAAGCATTTGACAAAAGTCCTCATGATTTATGGAAAAAACTCAACAAAATGTATATAGACAGCAAGTCCCTCAATAAATTCAGGCCATATATGACAAGCCCACAGAAAACATCATATGTAATTGTGAAAAGCTGAGTTTTTTCCCTAAAATCAGGAAAAAGACAAGGATGCTCATTCTCACTTTTATTCAACATAATATTGAGAGTTCTAACCAGAGCAATTAGACAAGAATACTAAAAGGTATTCATATTGGAGAAGAAAATTCTAAAGACTCCACCCAAAAATTGTTAGAGCTACAAACAAGTTCAGTTAACTTGCAGGATACAAACATCAATATATGAAAACCTGTTGCTTTCCTATACACTAATAACTATCATAAAGAGAAACTGACAATTCCATATACAACTGCACCAAAACAATAAAATGCTCAGGTATATGAAGAGAAAGAAAGAGGC